GTTTAAAAAGCCAAATGAACTAAATGACAAATCACATGATTCTTTCATGAAAACTGATCTTGTTTAGAGGGAAGTGTTGGAAATAACTAAATGCATTTTGAAATATTTCAGTTTGCTATGAGCATTTTCTCATTTTCTCATACCTAAAATTAGTTTTTAGTGTCTTTCCTACTTCTTGTTATAACCCCAGAACTTAAAGGCATAAAGAATAGAGTGCGTCTCAGAAAATACTAATCTGGTATCGATTACTCTTCAGTAAAGACTATGGGTACAAAAACGTAAACCATTCATAATTCATTGGGATCATTTTCTGATCTTTTCCCCCCTTGACCTCAACATTAAAATCCTTGTGGATAGAGGAAAACCTGAGAAGGGTCAGAAGAAAGCCAAAAACATTATTTTTTTAAAAAACTTAGATAAAAACTTTTTGAAAAGATTATTTGGTCTAACAAGTGTGGAGAAATCAAAGGAGTAATTCCACGATAGTGTTCACATGTAGTACACAAAACGTTATTTAGAAAGCTATTTTCATCTCTTCTGAATGACTTTAGGAAGGGTCTGTATAGAAGTGGGTAATGAATTAGATTTTTCAGTCTTTTCTAGGGAGGTTTAGGTGATGACAATGTAGTCTGTTTTAGTCCCTCTCCCTTTGTTAAGGAATTAGTGTAGCAGCTTTTAATAAATGCTCAGTGTAAATGAGCATTTATTAAATATTTTTATTATTTTGAAACCAATTATTAACATTTTATAGACTATTCTTTTTTTCAAATTTCTGGAAAGCTTTTTCATATTTACAGTGCAAGAAATGACTGCATTCACCATTTCACTCTTTCATAGCTGTGTTTTTGTGAAAAAAATTGCCATAGCTGAAGAATAAATCAAGTTAAACCAAGTTCCTCAAATAATTGTCTCTTTTATTTTCCAAGCATGGATTCAAAACTAAACAATGTAAATGTATAGATTATCCTAATTATGATAGAATTAAATGAACAATGTTATAACTATTTCCATTTTGTCATCATATTCAACAACTAAGTTAGTGAAATTTTATATTAAACTTACATGAAACTGCTAATGAATACATCAATTTTTACAAATACAGTTAGTGAAAAGTGGGCCAGAAAAGCCTACAATCCCCACCCCATCCCTCAACACACACACACACACACACACAAACACACACACACACACACACACACACAATTTTTGGAAGAGGAGAGGAAAAAAAATCACCTAAAATGCCCCTGCTTTATGATTTGGTAGCAATCATTGCCTTTCTCTTTTGAAAGTAATACTGTTCTGCTCATTGGTTATGGCTTTGAATGAAGTCCTCTGTCGTCAATTCTGGACAGGTTGCAAATTACATTGTACTTTTTTTCCCCCTCTTGAGAAGCAATATAGCATTTTTAAAAGAAATGAGATTCCTAAGTCAAATGGATATAGGGCTTCCACTTGCTTTGTGTATAATACTGGGAAACAGTATAATTTCTAGAGCCTCCATTTTCTTTTAACTGCAGAGGCAAAATGACTCCATTCTAATCCCCATCGGATACAAGAGCTCAGAGGTAAAATGCCCTTTACAGTGTCCAGCTCAGTAGATTGTGATGGCGATGTTAATAATAGTAGTAGTGTTTGTAGTTGCTTGTGTGACTGTAGTCATCGTACAGCCCCCATGGTCCCACTTTAACTAAATCTATTTAAGGATATAAAGAGGCAGCCAGATTAGGGAACACAGGCTTCAGAGTCGGTTTATCTCACCATGATCTGTGCTGTTAAACATACACCATATTGTTATGGTATTTTGAGATTTTAATTCACTAAATGATGGCACTGTGCACAGAGGTGCTTAATTCTTAGCAGGACAAATTATATTTGGCACTTTTGGGGGGAGGGTAGTTAGGTTTGTTTGTTTTATTATTATTATTATTTTTAAATGGAGGTACTGGGGACTGAACCCAGGAACTCATGTATGCTAAGTGTGCACTCTACTACTGAGCTATACCCTCCCCCCAGGACAAATTATATTTGGTTTTTTTTTTTCCTGAAAACATACTGATGTTTCCTAAAAGGCACATTTTATTCTTAGTGTATTTATTTGTATATGCTTACTTCAAAGAATCATTTCAGTGACTTAGCCAACTGACTACCTGACTGATTCTTCAACTTCTTCTGGTTTCCTTGTTTTATGCATTTGGTTTAAGGTAATAACCTATTCTCCATGAATTATATTTCTCAGGCATAGTAACTGCATAGGTTATTTTTATGAGTCTTTTAAATTGATATTATTATTACTAATAAGATAATCTTAAGTCTTAACTAATGATTTGTACCCTTTTACATTTATAATTTTAAATCTAATTTAATTAATTAAAATAATCTAAAGTATTAATTTCATAAATCAAATTGTAGAAATAGAATATTGCTGTGTAATTTATAATCACATTACATGCCAAGAGGTGTAATTATTTAGGAATATAAATTCAATGGAATCTGTTACTTAATTTTTTTTAGCCTGAGCTATACATTTATTTCTACTTAAAAAAAAGCTATTTTTCTACCTCAGTGAGCTTGAAACCATAAAAGACAAATTGGAAAAAAAAAATCACCGAAGTGTGATCCATTTTTCTTAGTACTATATATGCTTAAAAACACTGAAGATCTCAGAATACTACTCAAAATTATATTATTTATTGGGACATGCAGGGCTATTTACTAGTTTACATTATATTTATTAGATAAGAAGTTAAGTAGTGTGATTCCACAGAAAGCACAACAGTGTACTGAGAACAGTACCAGCCCTTATGGATGCTGAAATACAACAATAGTTCATAGACTTCTGGAGAGCAAATAACAGTTTTTGTTTGCCCAAAATTTGGCCAGTACATCCAAAGGTCTGATTCATTTGAAATGCTCTAAATCAAATTAGAATGTAACCTTTAGCAAAATGTATATCATCTACTTTGCAGACTTCTGTATAAAAGTTCTCCATGTATAGGAACCACTTTACATGATAATTTTTTGTTGTTGTATTATTCTTACAACTGTGAATATCCATGAAAATGAGCAACAGCATTAGTGGCAGCTAGCGTTCAGAGCAGTCACTCACTTTGCACCAGCATGAGGTTTACACTGCCATTAAAACCAGTGCAGTTTCACAGTGTATGGAGCTCTTCCTCATAAACCCTTACTTCATCTTCACCACAACCCAGTGAGCAGGACAAGTGCAGTGGATGTTTGTCACTTCTGCCTGCCCAGCATCCCAAGACCCTTCTGACTGGGGAGGGCCCTGAGATAAGATGCATGATAAGTCTCTGCGTGCCCCCTCCCCAAATCAAAGGAGGGCAGCCATTCTCTTGTTCTAACTTGGCAGCTCGGGGGCTCTCCAGACACAGGCACAGCCAGTGATATGACCCTGCCTGAGAGTTTTTCCGGAAATGAGCAAATCAGAGCTCCTGAGGAGAGTTTGAAGTTCATTCTCCCGAGGCAGCTGCAGCTGAGGGCGATGCCTGTGACAGCTAAACCAGCTGGGCTTTCCGTGTCCAGGGCCAGCAGAGGCAACTTGGGTGTCAATATTGGACTCCTTTGCTTCTGCCCATTTTCACCAAAGTTTTTCAGCCCTTTCCCTCATCTAGCCATCTCATATCTTTTCAGCACATCCTATCATGTTTAATCTAACTAGAGTAAGATTTGGTTGTTTGCAACCCAGAATTCAGGTGATTATAGCAAATATTGCCATTCCCAATTTATAGATGAAGAAATTGTGCCTTACTAAGTAACTTGCTTGAATTGTAGTTATATCGAAAAGCCAAGTCTAGAACCCATAGCTTCTACTTAAGGGTTGTTTCTTTCAGAGCACAGTTTTCCCACTTGTCTTCAGTAGCCACTGCAGTTAATGAGGTGTGTTTCCTCCTCTATGCCTCCTTGATTGCAGCGCTTAATCCTATTTCATGTTTTAATGCTTAGATGATTAATGTCAAATGCGCCTGTCTTCCACACTGGACCACTGAGCATCTGGAAGACAAGAATTGTGTCATAGTCATCATTTTCTCTCAAACATATACTGGAATGCCTGGGCACATAGTCAGTACTAAATAAAGATTTTAATGAGTGAGTGGGCAAATGAGTGCATAAATTATTCGATTAACTTAAAACACCAATGTGGGTTTGAAGTTGATGCAGAAAGTGTAACATTGGTAAAAAAAAAAAAGCCTAGCGGTGTTTTTTTAAAAATTAATAAAAATTTTAGACTATTTTAAATAAAGTAATTCGCCTTGACTATATAAAGATGTTCACATGGTAAGCATATCTTCCATGCCTACTATTTGCCGGGCTCTTTTTACAGAGATAAACAGGAATTAGTCTCCTTTAAGAAGTCTCTCAGACTGATGGGAGAAACAAGTGATTTGGTAGCTCAGATCATGGAGCTGTGGGAAAAAGAGCTGTGGTAATCAGAAGAATGATTAGAGCAGCAGGCTCACTGTCAGCCGTCATGGGGACCACTCAGCGGGCGTAGAGATGTGGCTGTAGCCGGGATGCTGTGCACATCAAGGGTAACAGCCACAGCCCTCTGAAAGTTGGAGAAAAGTGTAATGTGCTTTGCTTTCCAGAATGTTGTGAGATTTGCTTAAAAAAAAATCATCTTATTCAGACATACTTATTTTTTAAAAGGTTATAGTCAAGGCTTGTTATCAAAATTTTTTGATTAATTCGAAATTGCTATGTACTACATGAAACTAATACCTAAGTATATGTTTTGGTTTGGCACCCAGGTGAGAATGCATATAGATCTATATCTTTATTTAAGTATTAAAGCCAAGTACAATAGAAACAACAAATATATATAAACATAAAAGGATATAAAACTGTATATATGTGTGTATCCATAAAATATATATGTATAAGCTAGGATACAAATTTGTTCATAAAATTTCCATTCTTTACAAATTATGCATACCAGTAGATGAAATATTTAACTCCATAAAGTTTTGTATCGTTTACAGACAATTACTACGGTACCCCAAAGCCTCCAGCAGAACCAGCACCATTATTATTAAATGTAACAGACCAGATACTTCCCGGAGCCACTCCAAGCGCTGAAGGAAAACGAAAGAGGAATAAATCAGTGAGCAACATGGAGAAAGCAAGTATAGAGCCTCCTGAGGAGGAAGAGGAGGAGAGGCCTGTGGTCAACGGAAACGGAGTAGTAGTAACACCAGGTTAGTCATTTACATTTGTTCTAGGTTCATCAGCTCTTTTAGATGTAGCCAAATATATCTTAAATCTGTGTGCTCAAATGTATATGGTTTTTCACATGTATATGTTCAGATGTGTATATATATATACAATTACAGTTATCTTCAGAGAGAGAATGTGCTATCAAATGAAAAGGACATGATTCTTGCATCTAGTTTATTAGTTTTAATTTTGATATGTCAAACAATTCATTCAATTTCCTAAATTTTTGGTTTCACTTATTCAGTATTAATGGGAATATAGTGAGTGGTTTAAATCTCTTAGAAGGTGTTCCAAGTCATGAATGAATATGATTGTTTAAAGTTATGAAGTCTGTTAATATTAGATACAATCTATCCTTAGAAATCTTTCTATACTCACCACTTTGTAAACAAAGGCTGTGCCATGTGCTTTTATTAACAACTTCAATGAATACAGTCCACTATAGCTACAAAATGCCCATCTCCCCTCCCTTACCACCCAATATGGCAATTTGGAGAAAATGTCTTTATACATTGATATTGTGAAGGCAATTTACCATTGAACAAGGAAAAGACTTGTTATCCCTTTAGTTTATCATCTATTATATCCCATATATAAAGAGTGTTAGACAGATACAATATGTGTTTGTGCAAGATACGGATTTGCAATTTTTTTATGTTTATTACTAATATAGTGCCCAAATTTTTATTTATAAAATATTTTTTTTCATAGTATTATTTATAATTAAATGTTACCAAAGCAAAACTGTAGGGTTCTCTTAGTCTGTAATCTGGGAGTAAGTTTCCAAAGTTTTGTTCCAGTTATTTATTTCTTAATAATGACATATCAGTGAGGATTGAAAATCTAAGGTCTGTGGTAAAACTGTTGAAAAACTGTTAGCACATGCACCTTGCATACATATTATTCTTTTTTAAAATCTCTAACTTTTTAACTGAAGTACAGTCAGTTACAATGTGTCAGTTTCTGGTATACAGCATAAGCATACATATTATTCTTAAGATATTTCCTACAACTACTTTGACGTCTGTATATTTATTTATTACTGTGCTGCTTCTATAGTGACATAGTATCTGAATTTCCTGCTCAATTATTTTTATCAAAGAGAAAATTTATAAGCTTACTTTTTACCTTCTTGTTCATAATACCTATAAAAATGTTCTTCCTTGAACATAAGGAGACCAAAATCTAATCTGTGCCAAAGTGTAAAACCTTGAAAACTGGTTTCATCTTGGTCACTCAGAGGAGGATAACTTCCTCCACTAATACACTGGTTAAAAACATTCTCTGACCCTAGCAGTCATTGATTTCTGAGTTTGAATGCTAAAAAATCACTATCGGCTCATAATGTAACTTGTTTACTGTCAAATGATTTGTTAATTTTCAAGCAATTAGATACTTTTCATTTTTTGCTTCGGAAAATCTCTGTCAAAATATTTACTTTTCATCATGTAATTGATTTAAAATAACTTGAGAGTACATGGTTTTCTCAGTTGATCTTTGACGTGAGAAGCAAAACAACTCAGCTGAGAGGAAACAAGTAATCACCAAAGAAGCAGAAGTGAGATGTCAAAAAGCAGTTACAGAATTTCTTGCTGGTTAACACCTTATAGTTGAAAATGTAACATATATGGCCATAGAGGCCCCAATCATTGATTTCTGTTTCATTTCTACTTTGTATAGGGCAAATCAAATGAAGCATTCTTGACCCAGATGAAACTAGAAATTTATATAACTAGGGGGGCATAGTGAACCTAGAAAGCACCTTTCCCTTCTATTCATACCTTAGACATGAGGAATGGGGTATTTTTATGACTAAGGAGTCTTTAAGGCTCCAGGGAGAATGGGCTGGTCTGAACTCTTCCTGACTAATCTAGCTATGTGATTGTCTCTGGACCTCTGAGCCTGAGGATAATGGAGAACAACCATGCAGGCCAAGTCTGGGAGTTCTGGAGAGTCATCAGATGCCACAAACCTTGGCTCCAAGAGCCTGGGTGGGCAAGTGGTCTTTATACTATGTTTTCTTTCTTGTTATGGGACATGGGAGATGTATAAGTTAGGCATCTCTTCTCCCAGTGTTCAGAGATGGAGGAAACAGCCCCAAACCAGAAATCTTTGGAAAATGTCTTTGTTTTTCTTTTAAGTTTATCTAAGAGAAACTTTAGGATTCTCTTTTTCCCCCTTTTATATATATTTACCCAGCTCTTCACCAGTGGAACCTCATCACATTTTTTCTAGCCCAGGGTCTTTGTCCTGCCTTTTTCTTCTTCCCATACACATTTGCTGGATACAGGACACATCAAACAATATTGAGAAAATCATTGCATACATTTTAGTTAACACTACCCTGTAAGAACCTAAAATAGTAATTAATATCAGACATCAATTCAGACCATAAATAATATAATCAATGAGGCACATTTAGAGAGTGAGAAAAGTTACTGAGGTAACTTTATACCATTACAAAATAATATTGATAATAGTGGTAATAAATAATATAATATTTAACTTCTTTTGGATCTTATCATGTGCTTGGAACTCCCTACCCTCATGGTATGTGTTAGTTCATTTAATTCTCCTATCAGTCCTATTAGTTAGGTACTATTTTACAGATGAGGACACTGAGGTACACTACAGTTAAATAATTTGCCCAGTAACTGGAATTCATATATAGGAAATCTGAATCCAGAAGCCATGCTCTTAACTGCTACAATATCCTGGGTTTTATATCACAGAATAGAAGCATAAATATATTTCTTAGCACTATTTTACCTGTACATCTTTAAACATGGAATTATAAATGTTTCCATAATGAAATGATTATTTCTTTCATTCTGGAAATCATCTACAAATCAACTTATTTCCTTCTGTGTGTATAAAAGATGTCTAATTTTTCCATAATATTCTATATGTATATAAGTATCACGCCTACCAATCTTTAACTCCTGTATGCTTTACCAAAAAGAGCTATTTTCTCTATGTAAATAAAGGTTTTACAGTCCTCAGTTTACCCCTAGTAGTCATTTTCTTCATCTTTTCTTCTTTGAATTGTATTTTACACTTAGAATTATATATTTCTTTTTCTTTCAAACCGTATCTCTATAAAGGCAGTGGTCACTTTTAAATAGGTAATTTCTCCATGAAGCTCTACTAATATTACCAATGAATATTCACATATGTGGATATCCATTTTATTCTAGTTCCCCTCTTTTTGCTCAGAATTCCATCAGACACCTGGATTTAGCCCATGGCCCCTAGAAAAACCATATAATGAGCTTCCAGTGTCTCAGATCAGAAATGTTTTTCTCTAATATGAGTCACTTTGGATGGAAATCAGTGTAGTTCTACCCTTAGAAATGTAGATTTATCCTTGTTAGTAATAAAATTACAAAAATAAAAATAAAAATAAAATAAATAATGGCAGCTCTCCTTTAATGAATGCGTACAGTGCACTAGGCATATAGGACATATATTACCTCCAGTCCCCTAATCACAGTATATTTGCTTAACAAATGAGATGCTGAAATGTAGCTTAAGGTACTTTACTAAGGTGATGGTAGCAGAGTTGAAATCTGGACCAAGGAATACCTGAACTCATCCTCTCTCCACCACATCTCCCTGGGCTGTTAACCATGCTGAGGACAAAGTGCCTCCTGACGGCCATAAGGTAAATCACAATCCTGCGGCTCGGTGTATTTCATCTACAGTGTATTCTATTATATTTGTCCTTCACGGGGTTCATGGCAGTGATGCTAGATCTAATGCTTACAAGGATGATATATCCTTACATCATCTTAGAGAATTTGTCTGTAAATTGATATTTCAAATTCATGTGCCCAGGGAACCTTCCCTTGACATTAATGTCACCTTATATTTAAACATCTTTAACTTGTTAGAGTTGACATCCAGTCCCATAACTTCAAAAACTGTAGATTTACCTGCAGCCTTCACTTCTCCTCTGTGTTCCAGAGCCTTATTTCTGACTACTGCCCCTGGATTGACTCATCCGAGCATTTCTTCAGCAACTTAAATTCAACATTCCACTTAATCTCTTCTCCCATAAAACAAACAAGCAAACCAGCTCACAAAGTCCCTTATCTGATTTCTCTAATTCTTTTCACCCAGATAGCTCAGATTTTGATGCTTCTCTCCCTGAGGTTTAATATATATTGGGTTTAAAAGACCACTGGGCCATTAGTTTTCATCTCTTCCTTCCAAATTTCACTGCCCCATCCTAGCTCACTGCCTCATCACCTCATTTGTGGACCACCCTCCCCAAACTGACCTCCATTTCTCCAGGCTCCATTCCTATCAAATTCCAGTTACTCCTCAATCAGTTAAAGGTTCTTGAGCCAGCGCTTGATCACATTAACTATCTTTCTCAAAACTTGGATAAGCTTCTATTTCTACTACTTCAAACTCTTTGGGCAAGTGCTCAGGTCCTCCCATGTTTGACTTTTGTCATGTCTGTCACCTTTGGCTCCCATTATTCCTCCACTTTCTTCTCTCATCTACACCCCATACTCATAAAACACCTTCACCTGTCTGACAAGCCTTTCCCACATTGGAACCTCCTATTCTTTTATTCAGAATTCAATAATTTTTAAAATATTTTCTAGGAATCACTTGTTGACTCTAATAATGAAAATTTAAGACTGTCCATGTCTGAACCATTGAAGTACAACTTACACTTCTCATTCACTTAGGAGGTATTATCTAGCCTGGTCCTTGTAGGTAACTTTTTATAATGTGCATGTCTGTCCCCTCCTCTTATACTGTAAACATTGCCAGGATGAGGACTGTTTCTACTTTTTTGTTTACCTGTCTCAGTGATTAGTATATATCTTCAATATTTCAAGTTCTTAGTAAATCCTTATTTTTCAGTCAACCAAACCTCTTGAAAATGTCAAAAGTTTACTATATCAGCATGCTTAGTTTTATTTCATACTCTTTTTACACTATTTGATGTCTTCACCGTAACCTG